GCTTCCTATCTGCACGAGGCAGCTAATAAGAGGACTGTACATAACTTAGGGGTAATTGGCAGGCCAGGAGGGGTATTGTTGAGCACTTTATAAATGTCAGCTACCAATGCCATTATCAATACACTCTAGATTCTCTTCCCTCTCTGTAAGCATCTCCATGGCATTTCAGTCCCTCCCTGATTCAGTTATGACACCACTGAAAAGTGAAATGTGTTAGTAGGGTCGTGTCTGACTCTTTGTGACACCATGGACTGCAGCCCCCTAGGCTCCTCTGTCCATGGGATTCTCCAGGCAAGGATGCTGGAGTGGGTAGCCATTCCCTTCTCCAGTATTGACTTCTAAAACTGTTATCTTTATCAACTGTTATCAACCCTTATCAACTGTTTTCAAGCTCAAGACTAGGCTTCACAAGACAAGCTGGAGGTGCCCTTGGAACCTAAAAGTCAGTCCCCAAACTAGGTCATTCCCTGGCACTGAACAACATCTAACTCTCACTTGACCTCTCCACATCTGTGAAAGTCACTGTCACCTTTTCAGCTCCCCTGGCAGAAGAACTGAGCTTGTTTCCCGCCCCCCACCCCCCCAACTATTATACTTCTTTCTCTTTCAGGCAATCAGTTGCCAAGTCATTCGTCCACACTTTCACTTACTCAGCAAATATCTATTGGGCCTTTTCCACAAGCCAGGTACTGTATTCAACTGATGAACAGAACTTAAACAACTGCTGCCCTCATCTGCAAATACATAATCACGTGTTGGCATGTGTACTCACTCAGAAGGGGATTTCAGTCTGGAGGAGAAACTACAACAGGTCACATAACTTAAAATGAGAGGTAGGAAAGGACTCTGCGAGGAAGTGACAATCTGAACCGAGGCCCGAAAGAGGAAAAGCCTCGGTGAGGTGGGTAATGAGCACAGAGCGCTCTTGGCAGCCAGATCAGCAGGTACCATGGCTCGGGTGGGAAGGGCCTGATGCCTTTTCTGAGGAGCTGGGGCAAGGCCACGTGGCCACAAGGCTGTGAACTTGCTCGGGTTGAGGCTGGAGTGGGAGATTCCCAGGGGTGTATGGAACCCCTGGTGGGGGCTGAGCCAAGCGAGGGATGGGGTCGGGTCACTCTGGCTGCGCCGGGGAGAATGGACTCGGTGGACAGGAACAAACTATAGAGACCTGTCCAGGGGCTATTCGGGCAGTTTTGGTGACAGATGGTCAGTGGCTGTGATGATGGAGGGAAGGAGTGTATCTGAGGCACAATTTGGAGGTGGTGCCGATAGAACTCGGTGACTGGGGTGAGGGCAGAATGAGGGGGTGGTGATAAGGCTGGTTCCTGGGTTTCTGGCGCGTGCAGCTGTGTAGATGAAAAGTAGTCATGGAATCTATCTTCCAAACTACTCTGTACTCCTGGATCCGCTCCCAGGACAGTGCTGGCCCATCGCTCCCCTTTCAAGTATCTGCGATGGCTCCTGATCACCCGCTTCAGTAAGCACACACTTCTTCCCTTGGCTTTCAAGGATCCACAACCTACATTTTCAGTCTTTATTTTTTTTTAAATTTTCATTTTCTTGGCTGTACCATGGAGCATGTGGGATCTTAGTTCGCTGACCAGGGATCAAGCCCGCACCACTTGCACTGGAAGTGCAGAGTCTTAACCACTAAACCAACAGGGAAGTCCCTTCCAGTCCTATTTTCTACCACTTCTCTACTTAGGTCCTGCTTCAGTCCAACTGGACCACTTCCTGTTCCTGGAATGTGTCACCACACATCCTTGCCTTAGTCCCTATTCCTCACCATCTCAGTCTGCTGAAACCCTATTCGACTTTCCAAGTTCATTAAAGGTCCAGTCGTTAAACTTCCTAAAACTGTGGGAAGCTCTGCCAGCACCTAGAGTGCCGCCTGTTATTGTGGTTACAAAAGTACTTATTGGGAGCCTGTTCCCTGCCCCCAACAGACCACAGGTCATACCTTCGGGTGCCCAGCCCCATTACTCATCCTGTACCACTGCCCACTCCTGTGCAGGGCCAAGCACAGGGCTTCACCCATAACAGGTACATCTTGCTGAATTTATTTGGGACAATTCGTGTTGCTAATTATGCTGAGGAACGAGGAGACCTGAGTTGTTGAACTGGAGATGTTTTCCAGTGGCATCTGCCAGCACCAGAGCTCATAGCAAAATTTATCTTCCACCAAACTCCTGGCAATCAGACGCAAGACAGACACACACATGCCCCTCTTGACAGCGTCCTCTGCCTGTTTGAAATTCTCCAGTGCAGCAGGGCTCATAAACCCACCCTTTCCTTGCACCACCTAGTATCAAAAAATTACAGCCTCTAACTCAGGAGTTTTAAAACTGCTTGCTGTAATCCATTAGTGGGTTTTGAAATCAATTTAGTAGGTTAAAAATGATACTAAAAAATAAAATAGAAAATAGCTAAGCACACTACTTATATTCAGGATGAGTAATGTTTCCTGAAACTTCTGTTTCCAATGCAAGTATACATCTGTGTGTTTACTGGGTCATGATGTAAAATGTTATTTCTCACCATGGGCCCCAGTTCAAAAGGTTTGAGGGCTAATGCTGGGTAGATCAAGATCAGCACACAACTCAAACAGGGAAAGATGTTAGGGAACCAGTAATGAGACTATCTAACTAAAACAGTGAGACATTCATATTTTATCCCTTTAAAATGTGAATGTCTAATATACCCAACTCTTCCTTCAGGGGACCTGAGCATTTCAGTGCTTTTAACCAAAATCAATCTCGTTAGTAGAAAGTGAGTCAGAAATTGTTTCCAGCTACAGGCCTTTCAGTACCTCAGACAAGGATTTCCTCCAGTATCCCAGTTCCCCAGGAGAGGTGGTTCAGGAACTCCATTGCTGAAAGGCTACTGGTTTCTAGGTTACAATACACAGAAGGGATGATACTTTTGTAGGAGAAGCATATTTACAACCAGAAAAATGCACCCTTTCTTCCATGCACTTGTCAACAAGCTCATCAATGTATGTTTCTGTATATGTATGTAACATAAACCTAGAAAATACAATCCTATACATCCATGTGTGAAACTTAGGCCTGATCAATTTGGGGGTCAATGTGAACCCAAATTGACCTAAAAATGAGATATACTATGAGTTACTGAAGGCAATGACACATGTGGGCTAGGAAGGGGGGATGTGGGCCATGGTAGGATGGGCAAAGGGGCTCAGGAGTGTGATGGATGTATTATACCAAGTTTTTATTACCTTGATGCTTGGTGGTAATGAGAGGATGAGGTTAGAGGGGTAGGCTATGGAGAAAACAACTTTCTAGACAGGTGTATGCCCCATGACAGTACACAGTCATCCACTACAAGTGCGTAGGCTGTATTTGATTATGTCATCACTAAAAAGACAGATTCCAAGCCTAATTCTAGCCGCAGCTCCATTTAACAGGTTGTCCCTTATAATTTGTTGCTCCTTGTGTTACAATCTCCATTTATAGTTGAGACATCAACAGCTGACTTCCTAATGAATGAAATGTAAACACTCTTAATTGTCAATTATAATCCCAACAAATAACTGGGCCTGGAAACAAGGGTGAAGAAGTAGGAAGTTCAAAGCTGGTGTGGTGCAAAGAACCCTAGATTGAAGTACTGATAAATTTGGGTTAGATCTGGGTGACAGCAAGTAACTTCCACAACCTAATGTTCCTGCCACCTCTAAAATTTTGTAATTCTACAAGGGAAGGTAAAGGTGATCTTTATCTGGAAGACAGAAATAGTATCTTGGCTTGATGTGCTATGGGCAAATGCCAATGATATTACCCAAGGTTGTTTAAATATGAATTAATGCCTTTCCCATTATCTAGATCGTATTAGCACCCTTTAGGTGATATTACATACCAGCATTTAAGGCTTTCCACATCTGCCCAAATTTATCTCAAATTTCTTGTGATTCAGACCTGCTCCTGCACCCATCCTCCCCCACAAGTCTGGTGTGTTTAATTCTTCACCACCCCTACTCTCCTAGCTAAAGTCCCATAACCTTTATAAAGCCTTCCAACTACTCAAATATTTAATATCAGCTTATGACCTTTGAATTCCTACCAGACTTTATAGCAGTCCTATCAGATAGGCATTATTATGCTCATTTCATCTAAAGGCCCAGAGAAGTTAAGTGGTTTGCCCAGCATCCTAGTTTGTGAGCAGCAGGACTGATTTGTTTGCCCTCCAAGTCCACACACTTTTTTTTTTTCTTACCGTGCCATGCTGCTTGGCTATTAAAAAAAACCATAGAGGAAGGATGCAGTAAAAAAGCCCATAAACCAGTTACAATAGGGTTTGTTGGGACATAAATGCAAATACACCACATCCTTTGAACCAGGTGTGTAAAACACGCTTGGGGTAGCGTGAATAGTTTTTAAGGGCTTGCCAACCCTGTTTTCCAAGCCCAGTACTAAAATGATATTCCACGGTAAATGACAGGTGGGTGGCTAATGACAAGAAAAAGCAGTATGGTTAAAAGAAGAAATTAGAAACGGGACAAAAAGACGAGAGTGTAATACAAGCTGGCAATGCACACAAGAGACACAGAATATGCAAGCATGGAGTATGGAGCTGAACGGGTCCACAGGACTAAAATATCTAAGTTAGGGAGCCTATACCTGCCAATGAGAAGCGCGCGTGTCTGAGGGTTGATATTAATAACAGCAGTACACATGGACAGAGTAGAACTCAAGAGAGAGACAAATAAGGACAGGTCGTGGGGACACAGGGCAGAGCATGACAGGATGAGGGTGGTGGCGCCCAATGAGGGGCCAGAAGGGTACAAGAGGGGTCGAAGGGAAAGGTAAAGAGGTTCAGAGGGTACAGTTCCCCCAGACTCCAGAATAGTGTCATCTTCCTCTCCACAGCTGGTTGGTGTGTGCGAGGATTCACATCCGCACCCCAAAAAGCCCTCCCGGTGGCTCCGAGAAGACGGCGAGGTCACATCCCCGTCTCCCGGGGACTCTGCGAGGGGTCCTTACCTAGGAAGATGGAGATGATGAGCCGCAGCGCCTGTTCTGACGCGCCCAGGGACGTCGCCAACTTGTTAAGGCTCAGGTCTTGGAAATCCCACCGCAGCCCCCTCGTCAGCTCCGCTTCCATGTCCCCCTCGGCTGCGGACGCCATCTTAGCTCCGGGCGTCCCCCAGGGACCCCTCTGCTCCGCGCGCCCCGAATGTGGGCACAGCGCTTGAGCTTCACCCCCAATTCCGGCCCGGAGCCCGCCCACGGCGTGCGCATTGGCTGCAGACCCGCCCAGAGGCTCCGGACTCAGCCGGTCATTGGTCATCCCGGGCCGGGGGCGGGGCCTCACGCGGCAAGGTAGGCCGGGGGCGGGGCCTCATATTTGTAAGGCAAAGGTGACTCGGCCCGGGAAAGAACGCGGGGCAGGCCGGGGGCGGGGCTTGGAACCGGGAACCAGACCCGCGATTGGAAAAGTAAGAAGCCGGCGGCGGAGGACTGTACAACTCAGTTCTAACAGCTTGGGGGAGGAGTCGAGGCGGGCGAGAGTCCGGCCGGCTCGTGCGCTGCCTCTCTATTGGCTGAGACGGAGCAGGCGAGAGTCGGGGCGGGGGGGGCTGTCACCCGACCGCGAGGTTACTCTCGGTCGCAGGCGCGCCGGGGTTACTGGGGCATGTAACAGGAGGGCGCGAATTCCTGCGGCGGCCTCGCGAGCGCCCCCTAACGGCGCCGCGGCTGTTCTTGAACCGTTAGACAGGCCGCCTTCCCTCCCAGACCGAGAGGACCACCCCGACGCCCCCAGCACTCTCTACCTGCTCCTTTGATTTCCTGTAACTTCCTATATTAAAACGTTGCTTCCTCCGAGAGGCGATGAAATTAAGCTACGCTGATTTAACCGTTCAGTCAGTCAGTCAGTTCAGTCTCTCAGTCGTGTCCGACTCTTTGCGACCCCATGAACCGCAGCACGCCAGGCCTCCCTGTCCATCACCAACTCCCGGAGTCCACCCAAACCCATGTCCATTGAGTCGGTGATGCCATCCAACCATCTCATCCTCTGTCGTGCCCTTCTCCTCCTGCCCTCAGTCTTTCCCAGCATCAGGGTCTTTTCCAATGAATCAGCTCTTCGCATCAGGTGGCCAAAGTATTGGAGTTTCAGCTTCAACATCAGTCCTTCCAATGAACACCAGGCCTCATCTCCTTTAGGATGGACTGTTTGGATCTCCCTGCAGTCCAAGGGACTCTCAAGAGTCTTCTCCAATACCACAATTCAAAAGCATCAATTCTTTGGCGCTCAGCTTTATTTATAGTCCAACTCTCACATCCATACATGACCATTGGAAAAACCATAGCCTTGACTAGACGGACCTTTGTTTGCAAAGTAATGTCTCTGCTTTTTAATATGATTTAACCATTAGGCTTTTCATTTAAAATTGAACTACTTTGTCACTAAGTAATACAGGTTCAATATCCAAGTGCAAAGAGGATAGAAACTGGAGACAAAAGTCCTTTTGTCCCACCTTTCTTTGCATTCTTACTTCCAGTCTTCAGTTCAGACTAACAAAAATGTGCCAAGGCCTGTGCTGGGCTCTGAGCCCAAAGCTATGGAGTGGAGATGGTGCACGGACATATAAGGTATTAATGACGTGTAATTAACTGCAAGTGAAGGCAAGTGCTCTGAAGGAAAAGAAGAATGTTCCATGAGAATATGTAACAAAGGAACACCAAGTTTTCAGTGATCACTGGAATTCGTGGAGCATTCTTGCCCAAGTGCAGCTTATACTTCTATAGCACTTTGCACTTTATGCAGCACTATGAGTCATATTATTTCACTTAATTGCTTATGAAACAGGTTATTTACAGACACAGAGGCTTGGAGAAATTAAGGAACCTGCAAAGTTCCTTCCCTAGTAAGTGGCAGAGACAGAATGGAAACCTAGGTATGTTAAAGTTCACCTCTCTCCTCTTCAGGGGGAGACAAAATGAAAGAAAAAAATTGGCTGATTCATGTCAAAGTATGGCAAAAATCACTACAATATTGTAATTAGCCTCCAAAAAAAAAAAGGAAAAAAAAATAAACTTTATAATTACAGCAGAATGTATCATTTTGCAACTTGTTTTTATGATTAACATCTTTATTGAGGCAGACTCATGTTTTTATAGGTAACTGTAATACAGTCATTTTAATTATGATGTAACATTGCCTGGTATGATTATGCCACTTTTTCATAATCATGTTGAGGAATACTTGGATTGTTTCCTATTGATGTATTTATTTTATTACAAACATTGCTGCTGTGGCCATTCTCCTTTAAGCAAGAGTGAAAGTTTCTCTAGGACTGTAACTCCAAAGTTTTTTTTTTTAAATTAACTGGGATCTATTGCTCAGTGCTAAAGAATCCACCTGCCAATGCAGGAGATGCGGGTTTGATCCTGGGCTGGGAAGATCTCCTGGAGAAGGAAATGACAACCCACTCCAGTATTCTTGCCTGGGACATTCCATGGACAGAGGAGCCTGGTGTGCTACAGCCTATTGGATCACATAAGAGTTGGACACAACTTAGCAACTAAACAACAACTACTGTAGGAAACATGTTGCCATCCAGTATACACATGTGTTCATATACTACATAAGAGATATGTATAGTACTCACACTATATGCACACATCACACACTGCCTTGCTATGTATGTGTTCTCTGATACCTTCTGTTCTAATTCATTAAAAAAATAATCAGGATCCACTAACTTGATATCACTACTTGCTAGTAGTCCATGATTCTCAGTGTTAGAAACACCCCTTTAGGGATTATAACCAGGAGAGGAATCATGAGTGGTAAGGTTTGCTCACCTTCAATTTTACTAGATTTTGCCTAATTGAAGTGTTTGGCTAAAATTTAAGACCCTTAAAACCTTTGATTTTCTGAATAAGTAAAACATATTTGTTAAAGCATCCAGTCAGCTAGATCCTGTGTAAAAACAGGAGTCCATTTCTTCCTTATATCCGACTCAATAATTTGTCTGCCCTTTCTCACACCTCTGGTGTTCCAAGGCAAGGAACAATGTGGCAGGAGGCTGTGTCTCCCTTGACACAACAGGTGCCTGTTTACTTTCTCCCTCAGGTGCTTGATTGGCTGCATTCCCTTCATTCTTCCTACTGTTCCAAGGAAACACCTGTTCCTCTAATTACACAGGCTGATGAGCTGCTGATTGGGAGAAGATTGGGATTCTATGACCTCTTACTTTATAATTAAGCACATTCGGGGGAGGCTTAGTAAATCAGGTTCTGTGCTGGCCCCTGCCCACAGGAAGTTCTGTGTCGAGATAAGGAAAGACAATTAGAAACCAGAGTGGAAGTGTTTGTATAGAAATAAGCATAATGTATTAGTGAAATCCCTCATTTCTTATGACATTTCCCCTGCGCCCCCCTTCCCTTTTTTCTTTATCAATTTCAGTATTTCCTTCTACTCCCTTTCCTCTGGCTCCTTGACCTCTATTATCTATAACTATCTGCAAGTCTTCCCATCTTAAAGTTAGTTAGCCGCTCAGGCTCAGTCGTGTCTGACTCTTTGCGACCCCATGGACTACATACAGCCTGCCAGACTTCTCTGTCCATGGGATTCTCCAGGCAAGAATACTGGAGTGGGTTGCCCTTTCCTCCTCCAGGGGATCTTCCCAACCCTGGGATCGAACTGGGGTCTCCCACATTGCAGGCAGATTCTTTACCCTCTGAGCTACCAGGGAAGCCCTCCCACCTTAAAACACCCTCCTTTTCCCTGAGGTATCTGCCCTCTTTTCCTTTCCCTCCCTACCTACTTGTAGAGAACCTGTCTTTTAGGAGTTCACTCAATATCCAGGTATGGATTTACAATCTGTCAACCTTTGGCAGTTAGCTTGGGACCCTGTGACTAGTTATGGCTGATGGACTGTATGCAGAAATGAAGTGTCATTTCCTGGCCAAGGAGTGAAGGATCAGGATGACTCCGAAATTTCTCTCTTCTCTTGATAGTAACACATATGGAGGACAAGTGTTCTGAGATGGAAGAAGCCACCCAACCTGCTTCTTGCTCAACATTTAGCTTGAATGAAAAATAAACATTTGTGAAGTCCAAAGATTTAAAGTTATTGCTTTAACTTGCCCGGACTAATACATGGGACTAATACACCAGTCTTTAACCCCATTAGAGCTTGGTGTTCGTTTATGAAACTATTCACTCAAAGACCAACTATTCCTTACTAGTTACGTGTACCTTCCCTCTGAAACTGAGCTGGACATTGTGGGGCTCCTGGCATGGCGTGGTGGCCTTTCTGTCCCCCATTTCTTTTTTAAAAAATAACTTTATTTATTTATTTTTGGTGTGCAGGGTCTTTGTTGCTTTCAGGACTTTTCTCTAGTTGCGGCAAGCAGGGGCTACTGTCCAGTTGCAGTGGGCGTGCTTTTCATTGCAGTGGCTTCTTTCGCTGTGGAGCTCAGGCTATAGGGCACATGGGCTCAATAGTTGGTGCCTCCTGGGCTCTAGAGTGCAGGCTCAAGAATTGTGGCACACGGGCTTCGTTGCTCATCTGGCAAGATCCCACATAGTGATGTGGGATCTTGCCAGATCAGCAATCGAATAGAAGGTCTCCTGCAGTGGCAGGCAGATTCTTTCCCACTGAGCCACCAGAGAAGCTCTGTCCCCCATCTCTTGTAGGTAAGACTCTAGCTTCCATGACCTTCCCTGAGTTCCAAAAGGTGGATTCAAACAATTTCTTGATAGAGGGAGAAGCAACTAAGGAAACAACCTGAGGCCAGATCAAACAGATCAGAGAAACTCACGAAGATTAGGAGACACACCACCTGAGATGAGATTAAGGGAGTGAAAGCCCTGCTCACATTCTAATCTTATCAGACACCCTACCTTCGACCCACTGTCATAAAAAGCCTCCTCCAGTTTTCTGGAGTTGAGACACCTAGTTTTTCAAGGCAGAACCCCAGTGTATCTCCCTTTGCCCATCAAAAAATAAAGCTATCCTTTTCTATTTCACCCAAAACTCTGCCTCCAGGATTGATTTGGCACCAATGTACAGAAAAGCCGAGCTTCTCTGTCTCATATTTTTTTAATAACTTTTTTCATTTTTTGGCTTTGCCATGCATCATATGTAATCTCAGAACCCCGACCAGGGATTGAAT